ACCGGAGCTGATCATCCAGATTCCTCTCTATTTCTCTGGGCTTTGCACACTTGTTTAGTGAGATTTTCTCCTTATTGATGTGTGTATCTATTTAGTATGTTGTTGTTGTTGATATCCAAGAACTAGATGTGTTCTTGATGTATTGTTAGCCTTTGAAGTTGGCTCTAGAGAACAAACTGTGTATCCCATTATTTTATAGTGGATGGCTCTTTTACTGGACTAGGTCCCGGGGTTTTTCCCTTCACAGGGTTTTCCTCGTTAACAAATCTTGGTGTTCAATTTATATTCTTGTCGGTGTGTGTGAGTTGTTGGAGCTAGTCATTACTTCCGTTAGTTTAATTCTGCACATTGAGGGATTGATATATTATTATTTCCGCTGCTTGTGTATTGTATTGGTTCAATCCCAACAATTATGCACTCCTGGTTTGTCTGCGTGTGAATATATTCCACTAGATTTGAGTTGCCGAAAAAGTAAAAACTTAATATTCAAATAGGAATTCAACAATGTACAATGGTTTACCTTTTCTTTGCGTTTCTCGAGAAAGCGAGCGAGGGATGCTTTGCGTGCCTGTAGAACAGCTGCATAAAAATAATTCTTTTAGTACAAGTAATGGCATTTGGGCAAACGTTGTAACAGGAGATTATGAAGTTAATCCATGGTATTGAAATAAGGCACAATACTGAAGCTGAAAGCATTATGTTTAAAATTGAAAAATTATGCAAATGTAACATCAGAGCATAACATACCAGATGATATTATGGCAGTTGCAGCTATAGATCCTAGAGACGTTACCATTATTGGAGGCTCCACTTTGCTAACAAGATTAGTTGAGAAGCCAAGGGAATTAGATACCTTGATGTCTTCACTGTTAGCAGGCGGTGTACTGCCAGACTGATCAATTGGATGAGAGGAAATAGATATAGGACTTGAGAGAGCAGGCCGGGTGGCACATTCATGCTTTGGTTCACCAATGCTTCATCAGCTGCTGCAAGTTTGGAGGCAGGTGGATCAATGCAAAGTCTTGGTTGTGCCATATTAGATGAGACACACCCATTTCCAGCCAAAAGTATTATCGCTTGAGCCTGGTGAACACCCCAGTGAAAGTGTGAAGAAGTTTAATAAACTTCCAATTGTCATTATACAAATAACAAAGGTAACACATAAAGCACCTTCTCTGGGGAGATGTCATCAAAGACATTCACTTTTCCAGCATAGAAGGTTGTCAACTGAAGGAGCAGCAGAAGCCTTAGCATCAAGCCTACAACAAGCAAAACATTGAAGACAAAGTTTTGATTTTGATGTGACCTAATCCTATTACTTCATCCCTTTCTTAAAATAACTTAATCATATCTCGTCAAACAAAGAAAGTACATAGATCCTACCAAAATGAGTATGCATAGAACATTACTACTGCAATTACTAGGGGTGTACAAAAGTCCCGAACCGAACCAAACCCGAACCGAATCGAGTGGTTCTTCATAAGTTAAATACCTGAACGGGTACCCGAATTGAGAACCGATGGGTTTGGGTCAGGTCCCGAGTCTAGATCAAGAACTGAATAAGAACCGACACTAAATAATTTTTTTATTTTTTATATTGAATTAATTAAATTATTTTATTTTTTTCTTAAAAAATTAACAAATTAATTAAATAAATCAGATTATTTCATAATTTTAATTTTAAAACCCAAATCATTTTTAAAGTCCATTAGCCCATTTTAATTTGCTCATGACTACATGACTATTCGAATTTGCTCATTAAATTTAAAGCCTTCAAATGATTATATTAAATAGTTGGTAAGTATTACCAATACTTAAAAATATTTTATTTTTATAACTTTAATATTTATTTCATTTTCTTTATGCAGGCAAGCTGCTTGAAGCAAATGAATTTACTTTATGTAGTGTTGTTGTAATATTAATATCTAATTTTTAGTATTTGTATGCATTGAATTAATCTTATTGGACAGCTAGTTATTTATATGTTTTTGAATTGAGCTACGTTAAATTGTAAAAGTTACGAATGAAATATCATTAATTGTATTTATGTAGTCTTGGTGAATCTGGGAGGATGGACTCCTTGTTCGATAACAGCAATGGAACCCCTGAACTCTTGGTGAATTCAAATGTTAGATGTATTTTCTTCTTCTGCTGCTTACAAACAAGTAGTCAAAGCTATGCCTCCTAATTGGCTGGTATTGTATGAGAGATTTAAAATTTACAAGTAAGCCGCCTTTGTTTTTCATATGAACAAATAATAAGTGATCTCTGTTTATAAACTATGTAACTGAAATTGGTTGAACAAGCCAACTGTAGAACATTGGCTACCTTCACCAAAGGGATTTATACACATTTAATTGAGTTCCAATTCTTCTCTTCTACATGCAACTTCTAGAATGAAGCTTCTTAATTTTGAAAATTTAATCCAGCTGTAGAGAGATTTCTTGATATTTTACTTATTTAAGTATCCCATTTCAAATCCAAAAATAGCATGAAAAGTGGTAATGGAAAGGGACCAAACAAAATATCCTCAAGACAGTATGAAAAAATGAAATTGAATCACAACCCATTAACCAAATTCAATATCTAATCTAAGCCCTGTTTGACACACATTTTATCAAAATACATTCTTTCAAAACTCATTTTTAACCGCACATTCTTCGATAAAATAATATTTTTCATAGCATCAATAATTTTTCCTTATTTTTTAATCACGTATCCCCATCGTATCACTATTTAAAATACATTCTTTTCTCAATAATGTCCCTCAAACACACCCTAAATTACAGAATAGTCATCAGTTGAAACTCAAAATATTTGTGCGTGCATGTTCGGGCGCGTGTCAGCATGAAAGAGAAAGATGAATCACCAGAATCTTTGCAATCTTGTACAATTTCGGCTTTAACAACAGCAACGGAATCCTTAGAGCTCAATCCCAGATTCCCATGCAGTCTCTCACCATCGCACCTCAGAATATAAGAACAGCTAAAGCAAAATTCAAGAAGAAATAGGCAAAAAAATCACAAACAGATCTCTGCTTTAATTATGTATTTCCCGTTGCGGGTCATGTATACACGTGGGAGTCAAATGATAGATGTTTGGTTAGCTTAACAAGTTTACTTATAAGTAAAAAAGTTATAAAATGAATAATTTTTATTCCAGAATAAGTACTTTTGTTTTCCTTAACAATAAGAAAATGTAAATTATTTCAACATATTTACCGATGAAAGTTAAAAATAAGTAACTTACTTATTTTAAAAGTACAACGAGATTAATTGTGAAAAAAAATATGCTTCTAAACATGTTTAGAGAAAATGTTAAAAATAAATTCTATGTTAAATAAAACATATAAAAATGAAGAAATGTTTAACTAGCATGTGTGTAACTTTATATTTTAGTGACAATAATCATCCAATTTCTGTGATCCATTTTTTTTTTAAAACACAAATAGAAATAAGTTTAAGATCCATTTTTTATATAAATAGGTTGATGGCTTTTCCAGGGTCCCTAAAAAAGATGATCAAATTGGTCATTACGAACAGTTTTATGCATTATGTCTCCATCAACCTTTCGAGTGGAATTTGGCATGAATTTTATAATTTACAAATTATCCTACTTAATGTGCACTAATGCTGAGAAATGACCTACGAAATAAGTTTAAGAGGGATTGGATTGTACACAACCAAGTTCACTAACGATCATATGGATGGAAAATTATGAATAAATTGTGAATTCTATTAAATGTGTGAATAAAAAATATTTTTTTAATTAACTTTAATTATAAATCAAAAATTGCCAAACGTGTTCTTCCCCGCTAGATGAATAGGGCCACGCCGGCCTTGTTCATCCAGGGCGTCGATGTAGCGCCCCTTATAGACGGGGTGCGGGTCGGGAACATTATGAATAAATTGTGAATTCTATTAAATGTGTGAATAAAAAATATTTTTCAATTAAATTTAATTATAAATTAAACATTGTCATATGTGTTTTTCCCTGCTAGATGAACAGAGTCTCATTGGCCTTGTTCATCCAGGGCGTCAATGTGGCACCTCTCTATAGGCAGGGCGTCTGTCCCCGACAAGCACCCCGCCTATAGGAGGCACCACATCGCCCCTTGTTTAAACAGGGTCTACATGGCCTGTCCAAACAACTTTTTTCGAGAAATGAAGCTTTTAATTGCTAGTGGCATGAGGAGAGGCTTTCATAGTCCATGACAAGATGTTGCATGTTTGCACTTGAAAAAATATCCACAATATCTAATTATTCTTTTCGATACAATTTATAAATTAATTTATAAATTCAGTTAACAAACTTGATAGCTTAGACAAACATGCTGACAGATGAGCTGGGAATCTACTTTCACTGTCTGAAATTGCATACTGTAATGTGTTTGCTATCAATTCATAATGGAACTAAACAAGAGAGATCGATACAGAAAACCAGAAATTTTAACAACATAAATCTGGATTCACATTCCAAGCAATCCTTTCGAGTTAATTTTGGAATAGAGAGTAGATATTATAATGAACGAACTGCCGAATCAGTTTTAAGGGGTTCAATGATTTCAAGCAGTTCATTACAGATACCGGTAAAAACAACAGTATCTGTTTCAATAGGTTTAAACTTGACAAGTGCTGCAGGGACCAAATCCTCCTCTTCGATTGTCACATTTCGTCCTCCAGCTGCAGAAAAATGTGGGATCACCCGCTGTTTGATTAAAACTGGATGTATCAGCTCAAACTCTAAGCTTAGTTCTTTCAGTGCAGAGCTCACAAACTAACATCAATCAAACATATTTAATGATCAGCAAGTTATCTCATATAATGAATACATGTTACAGTAACTCAAATTATTGGTCGAATATCAGAGGACACTATAGAACGACCAAATTGGATGGATATGCATTTCAATTCTGGGTTTTGCGAAAAAGCATATCTTAAATAGGACAGGAATACAAAATTAATTTTCAATGCTTGGAAATTGTTTCAGGTGCTACAATCAGAAGTGAATTTTCAGTATTGTTTGAAAATTTGGTTCATCATATATCCCACAAAACGAAAGTTACTTCTGAAAATGCACAGAAGAATTTAAGTAATCCAAAAGTTATAGACTTCTAACATAAATTACAAGATGCAGCACTAAATCACATTTCATCACCGATTAAGTCAATGAATATCCTTCATGCATTCTGTCATCTCAACATTAAAAACAAAGAAAAATTACCATGACTTAATGCAAGAGTACCAAAAAGAGACTTCGAGAATTTAGTATCCTAGTTATCAATTGGAGGTAAATAATATCAATGTTAATCAAACCAGACTTGGTACTTGAAGGCTAGAAGGGATGTACCTACTAGTGGTGGATCTGCTTGACAATTCAGTATGGCTTCAATGGGAAAAAGCATGGTTTAGGATGACAATAATGTTAATTTATTACTTGTATTTGAACACATAGTTGCATATGATACCATCCAAGTTGATACATCTAAATTACGTACATCCATTAACTATAAAGTTCCTGAAATGGTTTAAGCACATATCCCGTTCATAGGTCTCATCTATCAGCTGCTGAATTTCTCTGGATGGCCATATGATGCTCCCATTGAGTTGGTTCATTTTTAGGAGAAACTTTGACTCAACAATTTTTTATTTTTATTTTCAAATATTGTCATGAGAATTTTACAGTCAAAGTGCTGGAAAACGCAATGTGTAAGTTCCAAATGTTCCAGGTTTCCAGTCAGGCAATGCAGGTCTTGCTGCAGGTTGTATAATTTAAGGCTAACAGATGTTCTTCAGCCTGATCTTCTGCTACTTTTGCCTGTTGAAGCTCCTTCTTCTCCTTTTGATTTTTGCACACCTTCTCCACATGTCCAAACTGCTTGCAAGACCCGGATTGGACTCCAAGTCTGAACCAACACCACTTTGGTGAATGGCCTTTTCTTTTGCAATGTGGACATGGAGGATACTTAGCGTCCTTTCCTAAACTTTTAACTTCAGCTTCCTTCTTCTAATTTTGTGACTTCTTTCCACCAAAACTTGTTTGAATTCTCTACTTTCCTTTAGCAAACAGAGCACCCTGAGTCTGCTCTTCTTGCCTAAGCAATCTCCTTTGTTCAATGACTTGAAGGGCATTTACTAATTCAGCTAGAGATATGCTAGTCAAGTCCTTTGAATCTTCAAGTGAAGAAATCTTGGATTCAAACTTCTCTGGCAAACTGATTAGCACATTCTCCACTACTCTCTTGTCTGGCAAATCATCTCCAAGCAATCTGATCGGGTATACCACTTTCATTAACCTGTCAGCAAACTCCTTAACTGTCTCTGAATCCTTCATCTTCAATGTTTCAAATTCCCTCTTGAAGTTTAGAACCTGCATTTGTCTTGTCTTTTCATTGCCTCTGAATTCCTCCTTCAACCTATCACATGCTTCTTTTGCAATTTCACGGGTGATTATCCTTGTGAATATAGCATCCGAGACAACTGATTGTATGCAAGAAAGGCCTTAAACTTCTTGGCTATCTCCTCACTATGTTGCTTTAGTTGAGTTATGGTGGGATTAGCCCTCAATGGTGGTGGTTCAACTCCGATTTCTGTAATTTCCCAAAGGTCATAAGCTTTCAAGTATACCTTCATATTTGCAGACCAGAAGTCATAGTTTTCTCCTGTGAATGTTGAAGGTAAAGGGGTGGAAAAACCACTTGAAGCCATCACTCTCACTCACAAGTTTGGCTAGTATGAAGTTTCCTTACTGATTTTCTCTCAGGACTGCTGGTTTTCAAAGAGAATGAAAGAAGAAAAAAAACAAGGAGCTGAAAATGGTGGAACACAGCTGATACATATAGCCATACATTTTGGTACAATTCAAAATGATTTCCNATACATATAGCCATACATTTGGTACAATTCAAAATGATTTCCAACAACTATTCTACCTAAGTCCACTCTTCCATACTTGGCTGCACAATGGGCAGTTGTAGCACCTAACTTGCTTGAATTATAATAAATAACTTAAGCTAATATAAGTTACAAAATATATGTGAAACAAATGATAACAAAAAACATTTTGGTTGACAACAAAAGTGTCACATATCACATGGTTCATCAAAATTGCTTACAACTTCATGTGTTGTGTAATTATCATAATGAATCCAATTATTTCAAGCATCAACACAGGCGTTTACAACCAAGCTTTTGTCATTTTCTCAATATTAATATTAGGAAATTTCATTGGAAGCCGCCAAGTACCAACCACTCTTTACACCTCCAAATTCCTCCATCGATTCACTGTAATTTTTTCCTCTAACCATCGTCAGGACACTGGTTGCACTCAGATGAGGAAAGAACCGATTTTTAAGTAGCAAGCTTTTGAGCAGAGGTCTTGCCATCTTGATGAAAGAAGGTAATGGGGAGATTATACTGCAGTAGGTAGCTCAGAAATTGGGTTATCTAATCTAGTCTTTACGTGGAACACGGCGGCTATGACGATGGCGGTTGCAGGCGATCAGTTGTGGGGATGCATTTGCATATGGATCTTTTCTATTTTTTGTCAATTTTTCTATGGGGATGACACGACTGCTGCGTGTGTGGAATCAGAGAAGAGAGAGCGGGGCGGAGATATCAATTCTTAAATTCCATGTCTCTCGACCATTTCTTTGCGCAGTCATTAAGAATACGCCCAACTGTTAAGTGAGAGCGGGCCTGCCCGTTTCCCCTTTTTTTCCTATTTTATGTGATTTTCCAACCGTTATCCCTGCTGCAGCCGCAACATTTGCCCTTCATCTCTCTCAGTGCGACCCGTGTGCTGCAAATGAACGGTAAAAAAAATCAATTGTTTAGATGAACAAATCAGAATCAGATAGGCTAAGTGTGTTAAAGTTATAATTGCAAAAAAATTAGAAACACTATAAAAGTACGTACTACGTAAAGTCATTTAACATTTGTGTAAATTAAAAAATAACCTACAGTGTAATTTGGCAAAAAAGAATTATATACACATCAAAAAATTATATAGCATGTGATTTTTAAACGCCAGTTAATGTTGTAATTTTAAAAATTTAACAAAAATCAATATTTTCAATTTACCCCCTATTTTTTCTATTTATGTGAATTGCCCTCAATCATATTTGAGATAGTGGTCCTTTTGCTTGAATTTTGGTTGGTCTCTAACCTACTAATTTACTTTAATCTACCTCAATACATGGGATGAATACCCAGTGACCACCCTAATATAGATTAGACGTGGGGTCGAGCTGCTTGGCCAGCTCTAATTTTCACAACGTGCCATTTTTTTCATCACCCATGCTTCCCCCTCACTTTCAAGTTTCAATCGTTTAGGTCCCATAAAATTACAGGAAAATAATTTGTTTGATGTGCTTGTTATTTATATAAACTTCAAACAATAATTTTTGAGATGGGTGTATTCTTCAACAATTGCTTGGTTCGCGATACCTTTCATTTATTATTTCAGCAGTCCACGGTAAAAAAAAAAAAATCTCAATAACTTGAACCTACACAGCCACATGGGATGCTTAAATGTAATTTGGTCATTCAAAAGAACGGAGCCCTTAGAGGAATTCCTTTCCTTCGTCTTTGTCTTTTTCTCCGTATGAAGCTTGCACCATCTTTTCGCCTATGATTCTCTAAGCCAACATCTTCTGCTATACTCGTCCTCTTGTAATCAAGAATAGTTTCTTCTTTGAGTCGATCACCACATATGGCAGAAACCTGTAATAAACAAATATTTGTAGGACGACAGCTACTACGAATAATATTATCACGAATGAATGAGGCGCAAGAAACGAGAGGGAAGAGGACGAACCTTGCATGCAATGCTGCAATAAAAACAAGAATCTGGCAAACTCCTCTTGCATATGATGCAACAGTGATCTTTTGAATTTTGTTGTGGTGACGGTTGTTGACTCCTTTGCTTCAAGAACAACACTTTACTTTTATTTGTATTATATGCCTATAATCAATGTCAATAAAAGAAGATGAGCAAGACTGAACACCAAGCCATTGTAGACAAATATAAATAAGAGCTTTTTGGTTAATAAAATCATGTATTTGTATCATCTCAAGAACTTGGTCAATTACTTATAAAAGAAAAAATAAATTTAATTTGTATATTGCCTAATTTTATATTTTTCTCAGTTCTTTATAAGTGGCCGCAAGTACACTTCGAATCTTGAAACAGACTTTATATATAATATAGATTGTTTACATGATTTTTAGAATTAAAAGTGTTAATAGAAAATTTTGAAAAGGAAAACAAGTCAATTTGAACTCTTCATTTCGCATATATATTCGCAGGAAAACGGACTTTTATGAGTACCACGTTGTCAAATTGTTCATTAAAGTGTTATTTCATATTTACAAAATTTTGAATTTATGAAAAAAATATAACAAATAAAACACATATTCCATAATAAAAATAAATAATCTTAAATGCTTAAACACTAGTAAAAGTTGCATAATTACCTGTATGTTTGAACAGTCGAAGAATTTGCACAAGTCTTGCCTTTTTATAACTTCACAGTACATATATCTCCTAATCTTACAAAGATGGCAAAAAAAAAAAATTCATCAATTTCAAAGTAAATTCCAAATGAGAAAATTAATTAGCTAGAGACGTAGCCAACCTTAACAGATTTGTGGCGAGCATGAGTCAAAACACAATTACAACATATAGATTTTTTACAATCAATACAGAAGTGATCCAATTCTTTCTTCTTATGCTCTGAATGAGTGAAGCAGACTCCAAAATAAGTAGTAGTATACAAAATAATCAACCATGGTGGCACCTCCATGAAATTTTTCTGCAAGAATTCTATTATAATTCACTCATCAATTCGAAAAATGTAACATATACTACATTGGAATTGAAAAAACAAGGGGGGAAAATATTTTACTTTGTTCTTGAGTTGTTCGAGGCTTCTTGCTTCCAACAATATGTTTGATGTATATATAGATAATTCTTGTATGTGAACTAAAGTAAATTCTTAGATAGTCTATGGTTATTGGTTCAAGAGGAAATGGATAGACATCACTAGTGAAGATGATTAAAAAAAATTGTTTCGTATGGTAAACTGCGAGATAGTCGATCGTCGCACCATAATAGCTTCAAAAGTATATAATTATCAATTCCTAAAAAATGAAATTTGAGATTTTTTTTTTCTCAATAATTGCACCATCTACCCTTCAGCCATAATTAGTTCATGGATATATACTACATTTACTCTCATATAAATATGTGATGCTTTGCTTTTATTGATGCTAACTTGAGAGAACTACCAAAAGGGTATTCTTTTGATATTATAACCACATTATTACTTGCCCAATAAAAAGATGGGTAAAGTCATTTAATAGGAAATTCTGTTGCCTTAAAACTTCATCATCATCTTAAATTTGAGACCTAGCAAATAATGATTTCCCATTTAATGTGGTTGTTAAACTTTAATGGACGCCTACAGTTGTAATAGGAAATATTATGACATTTCCACTATTAGGATTTCGATTTTTACGGCAGCAACATCTCATTATAAATATGGATGTCAAATATTGCATAAATATTTTTTCAAAAATGTTACTTGTACATCACAAATTGTACATAAGCGGCTACACTCCTCTCACATGGGGTGTGGGATCCATTGCATAAATTATTTTTTAATCTAAGCGAGTCATACCCTCATGTGAGGGGGGTGTACACCCCGATGTACAATGTGATGTACAAGTAGCAAGATCGATATTTTTTTTT